CTCAGGTCTTCTTGATGCCTGACAAAGGGCCCAGTACTCTATCCACAACCATTCCACTCTTGTCCAAGAACTCCTTTCTAGGAGATGTGGCCTTCTATTACTCTTATCAGGGACACTCTACTGATATTTGGCACCAGAACTCTTCATGCTGTTCTGTCACTGCTTCCAGTAATAGCCATCTCTGGGGCCACTTAACTTCCCTGGAGGAACCTCACATATGCACAGCCTTCCCTTCCAGGAAAGAGTCTGACACTCTGTGTTTCTCTACTGGATCTCTCAGCTTTGGTTCTCTCCTCCCTCATTTCCCTCCCCCTTTCTTCCCTCTCTGTCCTTCCTTTGCCTTTTCTTCTTCCTCTCTCTCTTCTTTCTCCCCCTCTCTTCCCTCTCCCCCTCTCTTCCCTCTCCCTCTCTTCCCTCTCCTTCTCCTTCCTCTCTTTTCTCTCTCCCTCCTTCCTCTCCTCCTTCCCCCTCCTCTCCCTCTCCTTCTTCTCCCTCTTCCTTTCTTCCCTCTCCTTCTTTTCCCCCTCCCTCTCTTCCCTTTCCTCCTTCCTCTCCCTTTTCTCTTTCTCCCTCCCCCACTTTTCAAGGTCAAGCCTAAGAATGTGACTCAGGTCTATTTCTAGCCATGGCTCAATCGTTCTCAAATATGGTGTTCATCCCCCTAAATACAACAAGTGTTCCCCAAGCACTTTGCGTGTATAAAGTACTGTAGGAGGCACTGGGATTACAGAGCTAAAAACACAAGACAAAATAAAACCAGACTCTATTCTCTTCCATTCTTAGAAAATAAGGACACTTATTATTTCCAAGGCTTGAACCACTTCTCTCAACCTCCACAGTCTTTGAAAAATGTTAACCTTTTGCCAGTTCTTTTGGTACCTGAGAGTGTCATTCGTTTATCTGGACCTAGTGACTTAAGTTCATTGTACAACACGGTTATTTTTAGCTTCCCATCTATCTAATCATGGAGTTGCGCTGTTTTGTCTTATAAAGCCTCTTTCAGTGCTAGTATTCTATGATTTTAAGTAATTGAAGAATTGCTGGGTGATTTCCACCTACCTTTTTCAGTCGAGTTTGGGGGTGGGGATGCAGTATTACACATCAATTTTCCTATGTAGCTTCCTAATAAGGGCACTTTTGCTTTTGTTTACTTTTTGAATTCAAGCTTTAGTTATTTGTTGGGGTTAGTCCTAATCAATTCTCTAATTGCCTTATCTGATTTACTTTCTGTGATGGCATTTTAGTTTGCCTCTCCCGCAGCTTCTCAGGCTACCCAATTTCTTTCTCTTCCTCAACCAATATACTCAATCTTTGAAATCACCTATATCATTGAATGATAACCATTACAAACATGTCATTGTGCATATGGAAAATAGCACCCTGTCACCTGATATAGAAGAGAAGTTATAGAGCCTTATCTAGAATGAGCTTCTTTAATTTTGCTGTAATTTTATCTGTGCAGGTAACCCCCTAGTGAGGAAGCTCCTATAGCAACTGTTCTTAGTCTTAGAACGTTGTTTTGGGATACAAAAGGTTAAGTACTTTGCTCAGTGTTACACAGCCAACGTTATGTCAGAGGCAGTGCTTTCCACAGGTCATCCTGATTCTTGGCTGGTACTCTGGTCATTATATTGAGCATTATACCATCCCTCAATTAGACTTTATGACTTCAAAATCTTTTCCTTTTTTACCTTTGTGTCAAGTTACGCCAAATTGCTGTGGCTTTAGCATCTGTCATTGATTAAGCAAGATGCCATTCCAAGTGTGAGATATATCCAATGATATGAAATAGGCCCTCTTCTCAAGGAGGTTATGTTATAATAAGTAGTATTTGAGGGAAGACAGAAGGAAAATCAGATAAGTACTTATGATACAAAGGAGATTGTGATATACCCAAAGAAGAGAATCAATCAAAATGCCATGGGAAATTCAAGGGAGGAGAAATCACCATCACTGCAGTGGGGTTGGTGGAGGGGGTGGTCAAGGATGGCTTCTATTTCTGGAATTTATAGGAATCCTTCCCTTTCATAGCCACAACTAGCTATTTTGGTACCCAGACTAATTCAGTTGGGAGGAGGAATAGTAGGGGGAAGTAGTGCAATGGTGAATCTGGCTATCACAGGACTGTTTCTGGGAAAGCGTCAGCAAGGGCTGGGCCCCGGATGATCTCAGTGTCTATGGAGGATGTGTCTATGGATGAAGGGGATCATGTAATAGCTTCCTTTTTTTATTATTCTTGCTTATTTGGTCCTAACCTCACTTGCTTCTAAGCTATAGAAGGAATGCAAAAGCTGTCATCTAAATTGCAGCACCCTCGGACAAAGCTGTGATCACTATACCTGGATGTGACCCTAAGAAACCCCTTCTCCCATAAAAAGTAACAATATAATAATAATCGCTAGCATTAACGTAGTCTTTTAAGGTTTGCAAAGTATTTTACCTAAGTTCTCTTGTTTTTCAACAACCATTGGGGAGTAGGTGTTATTATTGTCCCCCTCTTACAGGTGAGGAAACTGAGGCTGAGAGAGAGATTAAATAATTTGCCTAGGGTAGCACAGTTAGTAAATGTCTGTGATAGGATTTGAACTCAGGGCTTCCTGACTCAAAGGCTAGCACTCTATCCCTTATACCATCTAGCTTCCTATAATTTAACTTTAATATAAATTCTTTGAGAGGCATCATGTCATAGAGGATAGAGACTCTACAAGTTCAAGGCCTGGCACTGATCTGTATTGGTAGAGGAGGTTTTCCCCAGGACTTCCCTACAGGGATGAAATCATAGTCTAGTTTAAAAATATGTATTTATTTCCTCAATAAGGTGGAGCCCCATTAAAACTTGGCTTGCTTACCACACACATTTGCATATGCCATGACTCCATTCAATTTCCCTCCATCCTAGCAACCAGTTCCTTGAAAATCTAACAAAACATGGTGAGTCAGTAGCGTAAGTGTTGAGCAGAGTTCCCTTTACTAGGGTTAGACAGGGCACTGCTTCAAATGAATGAAGGAGAATGTCTGTCCCTGTTGACTTGTGGTGTATTTCTGAGACAAACTCTATGTGGAAGGCTGCCCCTATCCGCCTCATTATGAGGAAGCAGCCTCCTCCTCAATGCATTTTTCAGCTTTACAACCATACCCCCTGCCAGTGTCATCCAAGATGAGTCCTGGGGCATTACTCAAAGGGGGCTCTGTTGGAAGCCAGGGCCTGTTGACCCACCAGCTAAATACTCGCCTTTCCTTCCGAGTCAGCAAGCTTTCACAAGCTCCCTTTCTAGTCATCTCTGTGACAGAGTGCCTTGGGAATGTGACCTTTTTTCTCCTTCTATGACCCAGAAACTCTTCTTCAGGGTCTTCTGCCTTCAGACCTTGCAAATGCTCCCTGGGGTCTAAACTCACTGCTCAGTATCCCCAGATAAGCTGCGGCACCAGCAGATTTCCTTGTCTTCCTGCCCTGTAAGGCTCTTCCTTTGTTCTCTCTTTTGTCAGCAGAAGAAAAATTAGTTCCTCAGTTTTCAGACCTGTAAAATTGAAGGTTATTCATTCTGCTCCTTCTTAATGTCTGTATATGTGGGATCTGCGATAGAAACTACAATGACTGACCTGGGAATTAACGGACTTCAGAGGAAACCCTAACTCCATTGCCGGGTCTTGAGTGGGACAATAATAAATTATTTTCTCTCTGATTCACTCTTCAAAATGGCAAAGAAACACCAGGACAGTACAAATCACTCTTTGCAATAGGTTAGTACAGTACAACTGAACCAGACACATTATCATCTCTGAATTAGGAATTACAAGCAAACCTTGGGAGGAGCTTGCCTTATCCATCTCAGAACCATGTTCCTGCCAGTATTTTGACTTCCCTGGAGTAGAATCACCAGATCCTGTTACCTAATCATAAGCCAAGGAGAGTGTCGGTGAGAAGGGAGTAGTGGGTGAGCAGCAGTAGATCACAAATCTCAAGGAGAAAATGTGGAAACAAAGCTTCTTTATGGACCTTTATCTCTGTTCTTAAAGTAGAGCATCTCAGGGGTCAAAAACCTAGTTGAGGCACTGGAAAGAGTGTTGGATTTGGGGATCAAAAGATTTGGATTTGAGCCTGGAATCTACCGTTTCTTTGCTGTGTGACTTTGGGCAAATAATTTCTTTCTAGACCTCAGTCTCTGTCTATTAAAAAAAAAAAGGCAGGGGGAAATTAATTCTCTGTCCATACCAAAAAAAAAAAAAAAGGCAGGGGGAGATGGATTAGAAAGATATTTAAGTTCCTTCTGGCTCTAATACTTTGTGATTTTTTCCCCTCATCTTCTCCAATCCATCCTCCATGCAGCTGCCAATTTAGTATTCCTAAAGCTAAGGTAAAGTCATATCACTCCCTTTCAAGAAATCTCAGTTGTTCCCTAATGCCTCTAGGATAAAATACAGCTTCCTCTCTTAGCCATTTAAAGCCTTTCATTGTCAGACTCTGAGTTGGATTTCCAGATTGATTATAAATTATTCCCCCATGAGTACTTCATGTTCCACTCAGATTAGTGTATGCATTGCTGCCCTGGATGTGACATTCTGTCTCCCATTTCTGTCTTTGCACCAGCTCTTCTTCATGCCTGGAATGCTATCCTCTCCCCTCCTCTGCCTCTTAGAATCCCTACCTTCCTTCAAAAGCCTCAGCTTACAAAATCATTCTGTATTTAATTTGTATTTATTTTGTATTTCATTATGCATAACATGCTGTTTCAGTAAATTAAATTCCTTAAGGCTTGGGACTATGGTTTTTGTCTTTGTATCACCAGTGCCTAGTATAGTGGTGCCTGGAACATGCTGGCACCTAATAAATGCTGCCTAGATTCAGCTGAAATCTGTGATATACTCACTTTATTGAGCAATTTTTAGTCACTTATAATTTCATCCAAGTAAGACTTTTTTGGGGGAAAAAAAAACAACTCAGCACTAGCAATTTGATTCTGATTTGCATTTTTCATTTCCTCTGACCTCCTGCTCTCCAGCTCAATCTGGCTGCTGCTGCGGAACCCTACGTTCATCCTGCTCTGCTTAGCTGGGGCAACGGAAGCCACCCTCATTGCTGGCATGTCGACTTTTGGACCCAAGTTCCTTGAATCACAGTTCAGTTTAAGTGCTTCTGAAGCTGCTACCTTATTCGGTAAGAAGCAGAATGTGTTGAGAGAACCTTTTAATAATTCAGTCAGATATCTAATGAGCCTTTAGGAGTATTGAGGAAGTTCTTTTCATAGTGCACTGTGAATCCTGTGATTGGCTCAGTGTTAATGAGAGTGTAATCACTAACCAATAGGAATTCATAGAGTTTGGGGAGATCTGAGTTTCAAAGTCACAGTTAACCAATCTCCCTACTACGCAAATGCTGCCATTTGGCCAGTCCTTCAACTCCTTACCCCTTGCCAGATGTGAAGTATCCTAGCCCACATTTGGGAGGACAGTACCTAAGTTTTCATGTTACTGTGTTCTTGTTTTGTTTAATCATTTTTCAGTTGTGTCCAACTCTTCATGACCCCATTTGGGGTTTTCTTGGCAGAGAGACTGGAGTAGTTTGCCATTTACTTCTCCAGCTCATTTTACAGATTAGGAAATGGAGGCAAAAGGGTTAAGTGACTTGCCCATGGTCACACAGCTAAAAAGTATCTGAGGCCAAATTTGAACTCAGGAAGAAGAGTCTTCCTGACTCCAGATCCAGCACTCTATTAACTGCACCATCTAGCTGCCCATGTTGCTGTGGTGACATAGAAATTTTTCCATTCCTTTTTGGCATTAAGCATCCTTAAAATGGGAGAGGGAACCAATCTTAATAGCAAAGTGATTCTCCCAAGCAATCAGGTTCTCAAAGTTAAATAGCAACAATTTTGATTGTTTCAATTTTTAAATGCTTAAATGTGTGTCACTGTGGCCAGATTAAGCACAAGGTAACAGGCAACCTGTAATTTTCAAAATACTGCATCACTTGGTATATACTGGTTGGCAGCAGCCATCCTTTCTCCAAAGCATTGTGAAACTTCCTTCTCTACCAAACATAGAGTGTCTTCCTTTCATCTCCAGGACCCACAGTTAATTGGCAGCTAGTGGACACAATTGGTAGAATACTGGACTTGGTGTTAGAAAGACCTGTGTTCAAATCCTGCCTAGGATGTTTACTTGCTGATCGGGAGCTAGTTGGAAAAATTGGTATAATTCTGAACTTAATGTTGGAAAGATTTGCGTTCAAATCCTTCCTCAATCCCTTCTTTCTGAATTCTTGGCCAAGTCTCAGCCTCAGTTTTCCTTATCTGTAAAATTGGGACAATAATAGTACCTACCTCACAGGATTGTTTTGAGGACCAAATGAGTTACATAAAGCACTTTACAAACCTTAAAGTGACATATAAATGCTAGGTATTATCATTATTGTTGTTATTATTATTTGCATCCATGTTAAGCTGTGAGTGTGATTATTTTATGTGGCTGGAAGTCACCACCTCCTACATGGCATCATGCTTTCCTGTTCCCCACCACAGATACACACACACCTGTGAAGCTTGAGTTGTTTTCAACTCTGATGTGTGACCTTAGTATATAGAAGATCTTATCCCACAGTCTCAAATAATAGGTTAGAATTCAAGAGACAGAAGTTTAGGGTCCTTTGCCCAGTACTCATATTTTTCTTGTGTTCTGCAACCACCTTATTAGGATCAAATTCAGATTAGCCATTCAAATTGGCAAAGGGCTTTATTCCTTTTGGAATCCTGCATTTTGCCCGAGCAATCAACAAGCACTTTTTAAGTGCTTGCTCTGTGCCAGGCACTATGCTATATGTACTGGGGTTACAAAAAACAAAAATGAAATAGTGCTTGCCCTTGAGGAACTTACATTCTGTTTCTGAAATCACTTCCAGTTCTAAATCTATGAGCCTTTGCTCCTTCATAAATAATACCTTCAGAATGAAACAGACTAAGTACCTCACTTCATCTGAATAATATTTTCTAACTGTCTATTGGTGTAGAAAGGGGTCCTCAGCTCCAGCAATGTCCTCGTCCTTGAATTATAACAATAATTATTCATATTTTGCCACCTGAATTAGAACATAAGCTTCTTGAGAGCAGGAATCCCTTTTTTATAGTATTTTATTTTTTTCTCCAATCATGTAAAGAATTTTTTTTCATGTAAAGAATTTTAACATTTTTTTTAAAATGTTGAGTTCCAACTTTTCTCCTTTCCTCCCTAAGATATTAAGCAATTTGATATAGGTTATGTCTGTGCTATAATGTAAAACATTTCCGTGTTAGTCTTGTTGTAAAAGAAGATATGGACCAAAAGAAAATAACCAAGAAAAAAACAAAGTGAAGTAGTATGCTTGATCTTCATTCAGACTCCATCAGACTTTCTCTGGATGTGGATAGCATTTTCCGTCATAAATTGTTTGGAATTGTCTTGGATCATTGTATTGCAGAGAAGGACTAAGTCATTCACAGTTCTTCATCGCACAATGTTGCTGATACTGTGTACAATGTTCTCCTGGTTCTGCTCACTTCACTTTGCATCAGCTCATGTAAGCCTTTCCAGGTTTTTCTAAAATCCAGAGGGCAGAAATTCTTTTTAACTTTGTCTTTATATCCCCACTGCATAGCACAGTATCTGGCTCAGAGTAATCACTTAATAAATGCTAGAAGAACCGATTTACAAATCACTTACTTCAAGTTTTTCAGAGCCCTTTACATGCATTTTCTCATTTGTCCCTGAAGCTTACCCAATCTAGTGATGAAGAGTGGACTCAAAGCCACCCTTAGCAGTTTCCTTCTTGTCCTTTATAGGCATATCAATGCAATTCTCTTTCTTGTAGGTTACCTGGTGGTGCCAGCAGGGGGAGGAGGTACATTCCTTGGTGGATTCTTCGTGAACAAATTTAAGCTTCGCTGCTCAGGAATTATCAAGTTCTGCCTTTTTTGCACATTGATAAGCCTGTTAGCAATCTGCATATTTTTCATGCACTGTCCGAACATGCCTATGGCTGGTATGACACTTAAGTATAATGGGAGGTAAGAGCCCAGAGCTTATGTTTTGGTTGGAATGGCACACAGTGATTAGTGGAAACATACATGAGAAACAAAAGTGTTTACTGGGGTGGTGCATTTCAGGAGAGATCTGAGTGCAGAGCAGAGATGGGACTTCAGGTGGAGTTAGAATGTCTAGCCTTTAATAGATCTTGAATGCTCCCATAAAATGGAAAATGGATTACCAGGTGGTATAGGTACTTGTAACAAACTGTTGGTTGAGAAGACAGTCTATTATAGTGGATAGATCACTGAATTTAGAGACAGAGGCCCAGGATTGATGCCTGCTTCTGCCGCTTACTATTTTTGTGAATGTCAGCAAGTTGCTCCCCTTCTTGGGTAGAGAAGCAAGTGGTCTAATGGCTGGAGTTCTAGACCTGGGAGAAGGAAGATCCAAATTAAATGCCCACCTCTGACACTGTGTGACAACGGGCAAGCCACTTACATTCTGGGAACCTTGATTTCCTCATCTCTAAAATAGGGATAGTAATTCAGGCAATACCTACTTCACTGGGGATATTGTAAAGCTCAAATGAGGTAATGTACACAAAGTGCTTTGCAGACTTTAGTGTTTTATAAATGTATTTTGTCTATTAATCTTGGGAAATCTCAGTTTGTGAGGAACTGGATCAGAGTAGATGAACTCTAAGATCTCTCCAAGCTCCAAATCTTATGATTCTATGACTATTTCACAGTCCTAAAAAATTAAAGGGAATGTCTCCATTCCTCTAAAATTATAGGTGATGGGATTCTACAGGAGAAACAACAGATTAATTGGTCACTTTTTTTTTTCACTTGGGAGAATTTAAAGCATACCTGTTTTTTGAAAGAAAATTTTGTTTCTTTTCCTCATATTTTCTACCAATCTTCTCAGTGGCTTTTAAAATTCCTTAGTCATGTATTTAACCCCCCTACCCCTACCCCACCTTCCTATGATTTGATTCCAACCTACCTTACCAGGCTTATTTTGCAGTGTCAGTTTCCATTATACTCTCTGTGTCCCAACCGAACTAACTACTAGCTATTCTTTGAACTTGCTATGCCATCTCCTGGCTCTTGCCTTGTCCAGGCCATCCCACATTCTTGGCTTGCATCCATCCCTCAGCATCCTTTGAAGAACTGCTTCCTTTTTTCAAGGCTCAGCTCAGGTGCCACCTTCCTCTGAAGCTTTCCCTTATTTGTCCCAACTATGTGAAAATATTCTTTCCTACCTTGTATTTTTTAAATGCATTTTGGCTGAATCTCTCTTTTGCCTCCATCACACTCTACCTAAAGTTATAAGGTGGTATTTCTCTGTGCAAATGAGGTCAAAGTTGTATTTAGCACATGACAACCAGTGCTTCATCCCAGGATGCTAACAGTCAGGCAGCATACAGCTGGCTTCCCTGCTTTGTGGTTGTTCTGCAGCTTTGCATTACCCAGTGTGATCTTCTCCTGCTTCTTTTCCTAGACCCCCAATGATACCTTTGCTCTTACATACCTCCCTCAGGACCTGCCTGTCTGCCTGCCTTCCCCCCAATACCTGTCATGTTAGCACAACTGTATCCACCCCAGGTAGACTGCTTGCATTGTGATGCCAGACCTGGAGACCTGTGCCATGTGAAATTCTTGGGGTCAGTGGCAATGGCAGTGATGCCAGTCTCTCCAGCAGCTGCTTTGAGGTCTAGGTCTCTTCTGACCCCCAACCAAATCTGCTCCAGGTGCCAGATGTCTTAGTTATGACTCTGCATGTCATATACTCCTCCCTACCCCAAACTGTCTATAAATTCCTTGAGGATAGGGAATATATCATTTTTATGTGCCCGTCACATAATAGTTATTTAATAAATATTTGCTGAATTGGATCTCCTGTTTTCTCTAGCATGTTGCCAGAAGGCAGTCTACAGCTGTTGGCTTCCTGCAATGAGAAATGTGGGTGTCTGAGGGAGATCTACAGTCCGGTGTGTGGTACAGACAATGTGATGTACTACTCTCCCTGCCATGCTGGGTGCTCCACAGTGTCCGTACTTCCAGAAGGGGGTAAGAAGGTAGGTGACACTGTCTCCACTGGCTTACTTCTATGAGAAACTTTGACGTGATCCATTCCTTCTATTGGGTAATTGGTAATTGGTCTGATGTTGTTGGGCTTCCCAGGTTTACCGTGACTGTAGCTGTATTCCTCAGCATTCCCCTTCTCGTTTGGGTCATGCTACGGCAGGGAAATGCACTTCATCTTGTCAGAGAAAGTCCCTTCTTCTGGTTTTCATATTCGTTGTAATTTTATTTACATTCCTAAGCAGCATTCCTGCTTTAACTGCAACTTTACGGTAAGAAACCGGGTGGGGTTTTTGATCTGTACTAAAGCCTTGCTTTCAGCAACGTAAGCTCTGGAATATCATGAGCCCAGCAAACCAATGGTTGGAATTCTGCCCATGATTTCTTGAATAATTTTCTCTAATGGGACCAAATTTGTATTACGTTTGGTGATTATAGCATCATAGATTTAAAGATGGAAGCGACTTCAGAGATCACCCAATCCAAACCCCTCATTTTACAGATGAGAAATTTGAATCCCCAAGAAAAGAAATGACCTAGACACAGTTAAATAGCAGAGCCATGATTCAAACCCAGTCCTACTGACTCGAAATCCAATGTCCTCATCATTGGGCCATACTACCACTGAATGAGTCAAATGGCCCTAAGAATGCTATTCATACCATGCTTATGAAATAAAACCCTGAACCCCCAAAAGAGATGTTATTGTATCTGCTGCTCCTGAGGTGTGGTGTAATTGGCATGAAATAGGCATGGTGTAATTGGGACTGTAGTATTTAAAGAATACCAATTTTAATAACCTTTTAACTCTGATACTTTCTGTTATAGGTGTGTCTCTGACCGGCAGAGATCCTTTGCACTAGGAATTCAATGGATTGTAGTACGCACTCTAGGTACAGTATAGTATATAAAAGGAGATGTCATCTTGGAGCATTCATGTGCTTTCTTCTGCTCCTAACATCAGGGATAGTCAAAAGACCCTTATTCAAGAAGGTTATTTGACTAACTCTTAAGTGATGAATTTAACTTCTTCCAAAAACCCATCTCATGGACTGTAATGAGCCATATCATGAAGACATTGGTTCATACACCAAAATATCTTTCCCTCCAAATCTTCCCCTCTTCCACATTTCCCTATTACTATCAAAGACACTACCATTCTTCCAATCACTCAAGGCTAGCAACCTTGGTTTTATCTTTACTCCTCTCTCTCATTCCACATATCCAATCCATTGCCAAATCTTGTCATTTCTACCATAGTAGCATCCCTCATATATGTCTCCTTCTCTGCATTCACACAGCCATGACTCTGCTATAGGCTCTCGATTACCTCTTGCCTGGACTATTGTAACAATTGCCTTCAAACCTCAAGACTCTCCACACTCCAATAGATCCTCCATTCAATTTCCAAACTGATTTTCCTATAATGCACAGATCTGACCATGTCAACCTTCTACTTAATGAACTCTTTATTACCTCCAAAATCAATTTTTTAAATCTTCTCTTTGGCATTTAAAACCTTTTCTACCCCAGCTCCTTCTCCTTTTCCAGCCTCATTAGACCTTGCACACTATAGTGAAACTACACTGGCTTACTTGCAATTTCTGGAACAGAGCAATCCACCACCCACCTCTGTGATTTTTCTCTGTCTGTCCCTTACATCTGGATTTCTCTCGCTCTTCACCTCCCCCTCTTAGCTTCCATGGCTTCCTTCAAGATCCAGCTCATATCTCACCTTCTGCAGAAAGCCTTTCTCTGTCCTCTAGCTATTAGTGCATTGCCCTGATTATCTCTTACCTACTCTGTGTATCTTTATATACCTAATGAATTACTTGTCTCCTCCATTAGAAAGTGAGCTCCTGAGGGCAGGGCCTTTTTCCTTAGCCTTCCTTTGTATCTCTACTACTTAGAACAGTGCCTGGATCATAGAGAGTGCTTAATAAATATTTGTTAACTGACCATCTGACCCAACTTACAGGAGCTCTATTCGTACAAAATTTTATTTATTTATTTTTTTTGGCTAGGCAATGGGGTTAGGTGACTTACCCCAGGTCACACAGCTAGTAAGTGTCAAGTGCCTGAGGCTGGATTTGAACTCAGGTCCTCCTGAATCCAGGGCCGGTGCTCTATCTACTATGCCACCTAGCTGCCCCTAAAATTCTATTTCTTTTCCTACAGGTGGAATTCCAGGCCCAATTGCCTTTGGCTGGGTGATTGATAAAGCTTGCTTACTCTGGCAGGACCGATGTGGAGATCAGGGATCCTGCTACATTTATCAGAACTCTGCCATGAGCCACTACACCCTCATTGCTGGAATTGTTTACAAGGTGAGTTAGGACCATATCTTATTTCTTTAGTTTGTGTCATGTTAGTAGTAATTGGGAGCCCTGAAGGAAACATTTCAAGAGTCTGTTTGAGTATGAAAAATATTTTTTGTACTTTATTTATAGTAGGGTTTGCCAAAAATCAGCAAAAAATCGTGTATATTCTTAAACTTGAACTAGGGTCTTCGACCAGTAGATTCTATGTTCTGGTTGGTGCTGCCATGCCCTCTTCTCTATCTTACTACCCTCTTCCCAGGGAAAAAGAACCTGGACAATAGTAACATCCCCTTTCAATCTACCTGGGGACTTTAGCTGTCAATATTCGCAATCACTTTCCTTCAATGATCTTAAGGCATCAAGAAAATGAGAAGTAGATCTTCCTCACCAAAAGACTAAGTCGCATATATAATTCTACATGTTAATATTTGGTTGTTGTGCTGGTGTTGGTGTCATTCTTTTCCTTGATGGCATCTATTTCCTCCAGGTATCCTTAGTTCTTAAATTCCAGGGTAGTGTTCATCATGACCCTCTTTAATTACAGCATTAGAAAAATATGGATTCTAATTTGTTAGAAAATTCTATGTTTGGGGAAGCTAGGTGGTGCAGTGGATAGAGCACCAGCCCTGAAGTCAAGAGGACCCAAGTTCAAATCCAGCCTCAGACACATAACACTTACCAGCTGTGTGACCCTGTGTGAACCTCAGAGAATACCCCATTGCCTAGCCAAAATAAAATTCTATGTGGACTTACTCAATAATTGGTACAACTCAAAAAAGAAGGGAAAAAAATGCTGACTTTGGAGTCACGAGACTTGGGTTCAAAAACCTACCCCTGACACTTATGTTACCTTAGGCATATATATCATTTAACATCCCTGGCTCTTAGTTTTCTCATCTGTATAATTAGAGAGTTGAGTGCCATGACCTCTGAGATCCTTCTAGCTCTATGACCCCATATGGCAGGATTAGAAGGGCACCAAAAGGCCTGCTTACTCAGAATGTCATTGAGATAGTTAGGGTGCATAGTGAATAGAATACTGAGCTTGGAGTCAAGAGGACCCGATTTCATATCCTCCCTTAGATTCTTAATAGTTGTGTGACAATGGGAAAACCATTGATCTCTCTCAGGTCCAGCTTCCTCGTTTGAGGAAGGTTGACTTGATTAGCTTCCAGCTCTAAGTCTATGATTCCATGATAATTATAACTCATATTTTTCTCATTGGGAAAGAAGGAAGAAGTTCAACTAGAATTTAAAATATCACATCCTTGGATTTCATTCTTGTCTCTGGAAAGGTTTGTCATGAAGTCTATTGATACAGAATCTACCTAGGATAGGGGTCCTTACTTTAGGTAATAACATCCTTATCTACAAATAAGAAAATGTTTAATTTTCAGGCGTGGCCAATGATATCATTTGGTTTTCTTTTATTACTGAGCTTATTTAACATAAAATTAGACATGTGCATTACAATATTTTAGGATCATATTGAAAACTGGAAGGAACCTCAGAGAATATCCTAGCCTTTTTTGCATGTCATAGACCCCTTTTGCAGCCCATGGTAAAGCCCATGGAGCTCTTCTCAGGATAACATTTTTAAATGTGTAAAATAAAATACACAGGGTTACAAATAGAGCTGTTCTGGCAAATGTTGAACAACTAGCAATCTAGAGGAAAAAATTACCCACCACATACTTTTAAATTTAATCTGCATATTGACATTTTTTCCATTCCTTTATTAAGTCTAGACACTTAAGAAAACAATAAATCAAGCCCTGATTTGTAGCATTTGCTCATTTCTAAATGCTCATGCTGAAAATTTCACAATTGGCTCCTGGGGCTGGTGTGAGCTGGCTCCATTACACCCTTGGGACTTACAAAGGAAATCAATTATACTAAATACAGCAATCACGATATCTTTAAAAATAAGTTCACAGACTCAAGGTTAAGAACACCTAATCTAGCCTAACCTGGGAGTGCTAAATAGGGGTGAGCTTTTAAATGTAAAATTTCAGAGTTGTGCAACGTGCCAAGAGCTAGCTGTCAAGGCTCCTTTCATTTATCAGTGGAAAGGGTAGCTATGCATCTTGCCATATTGTCTGTGAAGAACCACGACTTCTACATTAAATGAAGCCTTCCAACACTATTACAAATGGTCAAAAGAAGTCAAGATGAAGGACATAAGAACACAACATGTTGGCTCAATGTTTAAAAAGAGATTAACTATTTTGTCCTCTATAGGATAGGCACTGGACATGCAATTTCATTGCCATAGGGAATTATGCTTACCCACACAGCCCATATGGGTGGGTCTTCCTGGCTTTGAGGCCAGCACTATTCACTATACCGCACTGCCTCTTATTGCCCTCTCTAGCTAAAGTAAATGCAACAATTTCAAATTATCCAAAGTCTAAGCAAATATTCAAGTATTCACTAGCATTTTTTAAGAAACCTTCAATTCACAGAGTTGTTAATGGTCATTAGTAAGTTGAAGTATACGGACTGACAGTACTTATTCTAAATAATAATAGCTAACATTTACGTTAAGCCTACTATGTGCCAGACACTATGCTAAGCACTTTACAAATATTATTTTATTTGATCCTCACAATAACTCTGGGAGGTTGGTGTTCTTATTATCCCCATTTTGCAGATTCAGAAACCAAAGCAAACAGATATTAAGTGACTTGCTAGTCACACAGATAATATGTGTCTGAGGCTGGATTTGAACCCTGGTCTTCCTGAGTCTAAGCTCGGAGCTCTATCTTGCTTCTGAACTAACAGTTGTACTTTTCACAACTGATACAGTCCTTCACATGCAACTTAAACATTTGTTGAATGAATTTATTCATATTTAAATTTGAACTCATTGATCATTCAACAAATATTGAATTCATTCAGATATGGAAGAGAGATAGACGTGTTTTTATTGGTGTAGGGAACTCACAGGTGAAGAAACTACCTCTACTAATGCAGGTTGGCACCCGCTATACAATTTATAGTCTTACAGAATCACTTGAATATTGAGAAGTAAATGATTGGCAGATTGTTATCATCCCCACTGATCATTTATTCAACACCAGAGATATAAATTTCCCAGCATGGGGCTACCCCCATGCTGTTTTCTCGCAGCTCCCAGAATGACCGACAATAGAACACCATACTAAGAGGTTGCTTGGGCATTCTGACAGGGGTCAGGGAGCTTATATCTGCTGAAATTTAAATCTAGGATATTTGAAAAAGGGATTATTACCTTCAAGAGAAGATGAAAGTTGTAGTTATAGATTCTGACCTTGTCCTTCTAGTATCCTATCTCTTTTGGGAAACCCTGTTAGGCTTTTAATCTCTTGATATATCAGTAAAAACAAAACAAAACAAAACAAAACAAAACAAAACAAACAAAAACCAACTCTCTTTTTTTCCATAGGTGCTTGGGATCATTTTCTTTGGCTCAGCCTATTTGCTGTATAAGCCACCAAGAGGCTCCCCAGACTCCCCAGTAGCATCTCCTCCCAGCAGTTCAAGTGCTTCTGAAAATACTACTGACCTCCAAGAGCGTGGCTCTGTCCTACAAACCCAGAATAGTGTTTAAACATTGCGTTGTGTCTCTCCATATCAGCCCCACATCCCAATGTATTGCTGAAATCCCCATTTAATTTCATCACTTACATCTGTACCCAATAGCTTGAGTTTTTCTCAGAAGGGCTAACTAAGCACTTATTTGTTCTTCTTAATAGAAGTGATAAACCATTCTGATGTGCGCCAATCCATCTTTACCCTTTAAAAAGCACATATTGGACTCTCGTGTCTGAGAGAAACTGAAAGACTTCTTATTATTGAGATAAACTGATGGGTTAAGTTTTGATTTCCTCAGTGAAGAAAAGTCAACTTGTTCTAGTCACAGGTAAGCATGATGGGAGAAAGAAGAGAAGAATGAGGCCAGTCCTGGACATAGGAGAAGAGCATGAAGTCCCTCTGTTCTAACTCTGCCTCCTCATAAGAAAAGATGGTAGCAGGAAGAAGAAACTAAACAGCAGAGACAGGAAGGAAACAACGGCCTGGACTTCATGGGAAGTCAAGAGGGGTCTGTCTGAATCCACCGCTACCACCACCACCATCACCATGCACAACTTCATAGTTGCTATTCGGTATGTGTCATAGATGGACTCCTATTTGACCTTGGGAGCTGAAGACTGAGCCAGGTCAGCACAAGGAATGTCAGACCCCACCTTGGCCTTCCTTATGTTCTGTCACTGCCAAAGCCTCTGATCCTGTACCCTTTCCTAAGCTCCTTTGGTTCCTCAACTGTGGTTTCTAGTTCAGTATACTTTATTTGAAACAGGTGGTCTTGGAAGACATCTTAGGATCCACTGGAATGCGTTGAAAGCTTTTTTTTTTTAATAGAGACACAAAACAAGGATCTATGCAATTTTAGGTTAGTTTTTAAAAAATATCAAATGGCTGAGTTTATTTGAGAATATGTGTGAATTTTGGAATTTGTTGTTGGAGTATTTTTTGGGGGGGGGGGAAATTAGTTTGATGGTTTCCTCATAGGCTCCCTGATATGTAGGCTTTTTAAAAAATATGCTGTATTTTTAATTGAATCTTCTTGGTGAATGTATAAAATTATTATTCTTTCTTGGAGAAAACTACTGATAAGCTGTCTAGTAAGAAGATAGAGCCAAACCTCTCTTTCTCTCTCTCTCTCTCTCTCTCTCTCTCTCTCTGTCTCTCTCTCTCAGCCTCAGATATGCACACATAAGCACAGTTTATATTTATTTACGAAGATATTGCCCAATATGACTTCAATCCTAAGTGTGACAAAGGAAACTTTTCTACCTACAAATAGACCTTCTGGAGGCCCTTTTAAAAATCAGTCCATTGAATCAAGTAACAGTCCATCACAGCCTCAGTTGTCTTCATAATTTGCCTACACTTTGATTTTATACATATGTGTTCTGACAGAGAAAGGCGTGAAAACAGTTAAGCTACAGTATCATGAGAAATGGTTTTCCTTCATGTATACCTTTTTTCTTTTTGCTGACCATTACAATGTAGGAGAACTGCTCTGTAACCACATTGCCCCCCTCAAGCACTCATGGGAGCTTTCCTTGACCATTTAAAGTCTGCAGTGATTACTTGACTTGAACCATTAGGGGAGGAGCCTTTGAGAAGGGGGCCATTCACACAGATAAAGTGAGACATAATTTAAGTAAATATTTATTTAGGCCGGTTAACTAGTGTATAGAAAGTGTGACTAAACTGGATGCTCAGATGTGAAGCTCATGATATGTGCTGGTATGAAATCAGGAGCTTAAACTTCATTAAAAGTTTGTGTGCATTTACCATGTCCTAGATGAAATTGTATATATGTACATGTGCTGTATTTTTAATATTTAAAGATTTCCACACCCTCCACAACAAAGTCCTATATTTCTATGAATTCAGAATTGACTAGTTTTTTAACAAGGTTTTTGTATAAACTTTATTAGCCCTAAACTTGGTTAAAGGGCAAAGAGCACTTCTGACCTTGTGGGCCGCCCAGCTGAAATGCCAAGTGCCATCCTGGGTCTTTTAGTTTTCCTGTGTCCTCTGAATGATGTTTCGCCTGCCTGAAGTCCATTGAGTCCCAGGGGCGTGAGGCCTTTGGGATCAAGGACAAATGTGCTCCTACTTACTGCACAAGTACTTCCTGCTGGATTAGGACCAGGCAGCACAATTGAATGGAGTTACTATGTTTGGGAAAGCCTGGACAAGAGTCTGCTTTTCCCCTTCCTGGTAGCTCTGGTGTCGGAGGGGTGTGTGTGTATGTGTGTGAGTGTGTCTGTGTGTGTGTGTGTGTCTGTGTGTCTGGGGAGAAATAAACAAGCTATCTCCCCATTTCCAGCTTTAAAGGTAGTGTTGTATCAGTGTAGCCTAAACCTAATATGAAGGTGGGTAGCAAGGGGGTTAGATTTATTGACCCATTCCTCGGGATCATCAACCTACCATTCCTCAGGAGCTCTGTACATTGGATCATGGACTATATGTAATTCCTATTAATGTAGGGATAGTTTTATGGAGAAGAAATCCTCGAGCTTGGGGCTGAGATTTTTCTCAGGCAGTCATTAAAGTACTGAGTTTTGACACCTGTGAGAACAAAAAAAAAGTGTGTATGGTGGGGGGAGGAACAAAACCTGAAACTCCTGCAAGAGAAGGCTTTGTCTGAAAGGGACATTTCTGTTGAGTGGCCCTAGCCGCTGACTAACTTTCTACTCTTTGGTATCCTGACCTAAATTCTTGGAGGAGAAATGATCCTTTGGAATTAGACTAATGGGCCTGGGACAG